GGTCGTTCCATGCCCTGGCGTAGGTCGGGCATGTTTCCAGTAACGAAGAGGAATAACCCATCTACAGCAGAAGACTTCAAGCCTACTGGCTGCTACTGCTGCTTTCAGAGAATAAAACATCTGCCTCTGCCATTCATTTCTTTCCCATTCTAGTCATCTCAAGATCCCTATGATTTGGTTTCAGGACTAGACGAAGTATAATCGACCCGACGTACTTGCACATTTTGTGAAACGCGCAGTTGTGCAACTAAACAATGGCAAGACAATAATTACGATTATGTTTCTCCATTTCTCATTGGCGCTTGATACCTCCCCAAGGGATAAGTTACTCTCTACTCTGTCTGACGCTGAGATTAACAACTGCGTTCTACGGACTACTGCGGCGTACATGTGTAAATGTAAACCACGTGTGGGCTCTAACGGCACCAACTCACAACTCTCACCTAGCAATCTCGGTATATCCCGAGGTTCATTTTTCTCCCCACAACTTTTCACCCGGTACAGCAACAACGTTAGACATGAGCAAACGCGAATGTTCTTGAAATATGCGGACGACAGTACCATTACTGCAGTTGTCAGAAACTGCTTAGAAAATAACAGTCACATGAAGAAACTATCCTTGAGCAAGTGTGTGAAGTGTGCTTTTATTCCTCTAAATAAGCGAAACCACGATCATCTCAACCCTGACAGAGAAGAAACTAATCTAATCCAGACGTCGGTCACCCAAGTCAAAAATGCAAAATACTTTGGCGTGGTCGTTACTGACAGGCTTACGTGACATTATCACATGATTTACGTCATCAGCAAGATGAATAACGCTAATTTATACTTTTGCCATTTACGCCTGCTTGGAGCCCTTCTGACTTACGCTGGAGATTTACAAGGAGCTGCATAACGCAAACTATCACTTATGCTTCTCTAGTCTATTTTGAAGCCTTAACAGGTGATTTTGCACTTCTACAGCGATGTATCAGGTCAATCGAGAGGTCTGGAGGATTGCACTACGGCCTCATAGTTAAAACAGTTGTGCAGACTGTTTATGACAGTCTGACCTCCTTCGCTGAACGGATACTGCAAAATGCCACCGACCCACTCCACACTGGTTTAGCAGCGTTGTACTATCGGAGTACCGCTAAATGAGGAATCTTCAGCATCCAAAAACAAGAGCTGAGCTGTACAGAAAATCAGCGGCATCACACTTAATGCGTACCCTCGCGATTCCTCTCGC